GCAAGTTCATACTAGAAAAACAAAAACGTAACAATCAAACAAGCAGACGGAAGGACTGGACATCAACTGGACTGAAAGTCTGACTAAAACCACATAATTGGAGACACAGAACAGAAATTTGGCAAATCCACAATGTACAAAATATACATCCATGATTCTTTTGTAAACAAACATTGAATGTGCCATTATATTTCAGAGTAAGAGGGGATTATTTTAGTGGCTACAGGATACAAGATTTGATTAATTTAGTATCCCCTCTGCATCCAGAGCAACTGGACACAACATCAACTTAAAGCTTCTTCTGAACTAATGTTTGTTTAGTATTAAGGTGCATATGTTCTCCCACATAATATAAGAAGAAGTCATGAAAACATGTTTTTTCAGTGTCTAAAAAACTAACGTGTAATGCACTTATTGAGAGCCTGAACGTCACAGTTGGGCTGTCGAAACAATAATTTTGCACTGGTACATGTTACATTAAATCCACAAGGATGATATGGGATAGTAATACAGTAGCAGCATCTATATAACAAACACATTTGCAAGATCTGGTCATGAAATATAATTATACGAGTGGCCAGTTTTACAATTTTTCCAGCTATAGTCGCTAACCGAAAGGTTTGGACACTACGGCTTAATGAGGTGACATTTCAATCTGAAGTGTTTGCAATAAGCTACCACAAGACTAAAGCCTGACTCCAAAGTCCTTCAAAGTTCTTACAATATACCACTGTTCAGAACCATGGCTTTAAGACTGGCCAAAGGGCACAGCTAATGTGCTTATTAGCCAGGACTGCATCTAAGTGGCTTAAACAATCCAATCTCTTGACATTCTTTATGGTCCTCATTCTTTCACAATCTCAACATTTCAACATAAAATGCTACATTTTAGAAAATCACAGTTAGCCACTCATCTTTGTCTCAATTCAAGTTGAAAACGTTTTCACTCAGATCGTTTTAGCTTACTCCACACCAAGTTATCAAGCACACTGAGTAATACTGAGCAACCGACATGACACTACAAAACTATACATAGAATAAACAACTAGTATTTGAGCAAGTCCCGTCTTTACAGTGTTTTCATATTTACATGATATTGCATAAAAATATGTACGCAGGAATGTCTTTTACACAAGAGCGAGCAGAGAGAAATTTACTTTCCAGATTTACTAAGGCCCCTTCTCTGGTTTGAAAGATTTGTGCATACCACAGCAAGACAACAGTGTCACCGCGGCCTTATTGTGTGGTTTACAACTGCATTTGGAGAGCACCTGCAACATCAGGTTATTTTTCAGTCTAAAGAGTGCAATTTAAATGACAATGGCACAAAAATACAGTACATCCCAAATTCAATAAGGCTACTTCGACCCCCTCATCCCATCAATGATTGCACAAAGCATTTTGCACTCAGCAAAACTAATAAGCACGCTTTCTATTTAGTAAAATATAAGAAAGATATAAAAGGGTATGCCAATGGTAGCTTACATTCAGACTTGCATTCTATTTACATTCACTTTCACACAAACTCATACACCTGTGACAGCTTCCCCGGTCCTTAAACAAAACAAGACATAATAATAATAATAATGATAATAATAACAATAATAATAATAATGATGATGATGTTGCAACTGGTAACAAGTCTACTTTTTGTGGCTAAAACTACGCGGTGACTCCTTCTGTTTGTTTCTGCTACTGTCCTTCTCAGACGCATCTTTTGCTAATGCAGATGCCTCTTTCTTAGTGTTTTTTGCAATACTTGATGATGGATCTTGAGTAGATTCCCTCCTCCTCTTGTCGCCCTGCTCCTTTCGAGCAGATGCAGCCGTTTGGGATGAAGTGCTACCTCTTGGGTCTTGGGGCTCAGTGGCTTTAAGAGGGTCTGGCCTGGGTCCTTCTGGTTCAGGGGCTTCTTTTACAGACTTCACTTCACACGCTGGGGTTTTAATAGTGTTTAATTGACATGCGTCTTTTCTGTGGACTGGTTTTGGCAGCAGTGGAGGAGGATCTGACGGATTCGGAGGCGATTTGACGTCAGGGCAGTCTTTATGAAATGCTCTCGTTTTGTGCAAATTGTCTTTTAGTTTGACATCAATACTGTGTGACAACGGAACACTCTGAGACTTGACCGTTGCCGTTTTCGAGGGGATACATTTTGGTTTAGCGTCCACCTGTTCCTTGACAGAAGCCGCCTGCGTCTCTTTCGGCTTGGCTTCGTTTTGCGGGGGACAGGGTATGAGCCTCACCATGGGCTCCGCTTTGCCCTCGCTGCCCCGGGGGGATTCTCTGGGTTTGGACTCTGGGAGAACACGAGGCGTCGTTGGCCGGACCTCTTTTGACGCAGATTTGTGTTTGACGTTCGGGACGGTTTTCCCTTCCACGGCAGGATGAAGAGAGTTCTGAGCTTCGACTGCTTTTCCAACAGCAAGATGACGGTTCTCTGGAGGTTGACTTTTCTGCTTGGTCACTGGGGTCCCGATGGAGTCCGGTTTGAAGTCCGGTTTGCAATCCGGTTTGCAGTCCGACACTGGGGATGTATTGTGTATTGTCACCTCTGGACACTTTGCAGAGGTATTCTTTGGCGATACAAAATCAGTCGTGTCATAGGATTGATTAACACCAGTGGACACGGCGAGATCTGTATTTACAATTGAGTTTTGAATCTCTGTAACAGTGGTTGCTGCTGTACCTTCTGTAATACGCTTGTCCTTCACAAGTCCGTTTATCATTTCACGCTCTTCCGCAGCATGTGCGACTGTTTTATTGACGTTTTGTGTAACACTGCATGGTGCGTTCGTGTCACTGGATACCAATTTCGACACACACGTTTCATCCACCGAACCAGGTCTTGAAGTCAAAGTTTTGGCAAGAGCAGGCGGGTCTTTCCCTATGGAAGTGGCGTGCAAAAGCGCTTTTTTCTCTAGTTGTGAAGATGCAGGAATTTCTTTACTCAGACTTTCTAGATTATTCTTAATGAGAGGTACTGTGATTTTTGTCTGTGGAGTATCTGTAGATCCACTGTTTGAAGCAGAGGTATTTTCCGGTGTGATGGATACATGTCCCGTAGTGCTTGCAGAGGGCGTTGGCTTTGGTAACGTTGTGTCTGGCTCTGGCGTTGTCTTGGAGCCGTTGTCCGATGAAGTGTTTGGTGGGACTTCTCGTTCCTCCGCGTCCTCCTCCTGGTCCTCGTTGCTGACTTCTCTTATTGAAGGTGTTTTTCCATATGATGAAAAGTGGGAGCTGTGTCGAGACCCCCTGAGTTCATGAGCGAGGGAGGAGGAGCTCTTCAGCCCGGTCCTGTTCTCCTGTTTGAACACGAACGGCTCTGCTTTACTGGTGGGACTCTTTAAACCTTCACTGTGTGTTTTCTCACTTCTCGATTCCGCGACAAAGTCAGGGCAGGCCGTCATTGTGAGAGGTTCAGAGATGGGGGAACTTGTAGTAGGGCTTTTAGGTTTGTCTGTAGATTTTAGGTGAGGAAAGGTGATTTGCCTTTCACTAAAGCTCTGTAGCCGTGTAGGAGAACTCACCGGCTCACTGACTTTTTCTACCATCTTGGACAAACAGCTTTCAGTCTTAGAAATTCTGGGGCCAGACAGAAGGCCTATATCCAGTGTTCCCTCTAAAGGCTTAAGCAAAGAAACGTGTCTACCTTCCAGTTTATATTCAGATGAGGTTTTGCGAAGAGGAGACTCAATGGAGGAGATCAGATGAAGCTTTTCCACTGCACTCTCTGTTCTTCCACAGAAAAATTTGGGAGCCTGACCCTCAGAGCTTGTGTGAGTGCTTCCCATTCCTGATTTAATTTGATCATGACTTAAAACAGTGTCAAGCTGAAGACTTTTAGATCTAGTTGACCCAAAATGATGATTTTCATGCATGCTTGAGGACAAACGTCGGACACAGTCTTCACGGTCTTCAAACGAAAGCCTTTTTCGAGTCAACTCGATGTTAGGAGCTTTGAAGTCCAGCCTGTCTGGCTTAATGAGATCTTTACACAGTCTTGAGTGCGTCCTGTCGGAGTGGGGTCTGGGACTACTGTCTCCTTCGCTGTAAGAACCAGTCTCAACACTGACGTTTGAAATGTGTGTGTTCCACTTTTTAAACACATAACTGGGATGGGACTCTGGGGTTGAACATTCTTCGTCACCAAAGAAAGAAACCAGATCAGACTCATAAAGGGCATCTTGCTTTTGTAATGACTCCCTCCTTTCTGACCAGTCCAACCGTTTAACGACAAGTTTTGACTTCAGCTTTTCTTTATCAAGTTCTTCAAGTGATTCCTGGCGTCCCACCTTCCGAGACACTGGTCTTTTCAAGCATCCCTGTTCGACAGGACGAATGCGGGGGACAGACACCGGCTCATTTGTTTCATCCACATTGTGCTGCTCTCCCAGTTCTTCCCCGTGCACCTCCTCCTGAGTCACTTCCAGACTGTGCTTTCTGGGACACAGGTGCTTCTTGTCTCCAGTGTAAGAGGGCGACAACTTCTCCTCTGACTGCACTCGCTTTAAGAGAGGTGAGCGAGGAGGCTCAGCACTTTTAGGGCGCACGATGTGGCGGACAATAGTTGGAGGGGAGTGAATCTTGGTTGGGAATGACTGTGGCGTCTTTGAAATTGTGACTGAATGTCCGCTCAGGAGAGGGGAAGGAGAGCGCTGTGGGGAAGTGGGTTGAGGGGTTGGAGAAGGTGTGCGGGCCAGAGGAGACAGGGGGATGCTACCAGCAGATTTCCGGCGACCCTGGCGAAGTCGTGGTCCAAGGCCCAGGCCATGCAGAGTACTAGGACGAATGTTCCCTGAACCTGCAGGCGAGTTCGGAGCACTGGAACTCGGTGAACTGCTCTGAGATGAGTTTCCCGCTAGGCAGACAGAAAATAAAGAAACAAATGAGTAACAATATAGATACTTGGCCAAAATACAATGATAAATGATATGGGAAGATGTCCACCTGACTGTGTGAAGTCTGGGGCAGGTCGAAAGGAAGTAGGAGAGTGAGGGGATAAACTGTGGGTTGGGGAACCGGGGAGGCTCTCACCAGATGAGAGAGAGTGGTTCAAAGAGGACGAGAAGCTGCGACTGGTGTGCAGCAGAGGAGATGGCTGCATGGCGAAGCGTCTGAAGAGGGAGCGCCTCCTTGGATCACGGAAGATATAAAATTGTGATTCGTCTTTTACACAAACTATAGTATCAACAATGTGTGAACATGAAATATGATGTTTGTACCTTTCAGGCGTCTTTTCCTTCTTGTTTTTTTTACCACACCTTATCATCTTGCTGCGGTAGCTGTTCCTTCTGGCCGGACCAGTTTTTATAGATGTATTTTCAAAAGGGGTTGTAGATATGGCAACTTTACTTCCACTCTGTAACATAGGTTAATATTGTGTTAATATCAAAACAAAGTCTTCATATATTTGGGCAAAATACACCATTACTAATCTGTGTTTAGAAGCATTTTTTCTTTTTAATTCTACACTTTTACTAAGATAAATGACACACCTTAAGCAGAAGCTCGACCACCTCGGTGTGGAACAGGCCGTGAACAGATTCCCCATTGACATGAGTGATCAGGTCTCCAGCCTTTAACCCGGCGGCATGTGCCGGTCCCTCATCTTCTACGTTCTAAAACAAAATCATCAACAACATCAGTAAAAGGGGAATGGTCCACACGAAATATATTCTACTCAATGTATATTATTTATAAATGTAAGGAGCTCATTGTGGTAATTTTTCATGTAGATTAATTTGCCCTCTTCCTATCTCTGTGTGAGTGTGTGCGTGCGCTGCGTCTGTGAGAGTTGTGTCTTCCTCTCTGTCCCCGGCGCACGGCTCTGATGATGCATGCACTCGTGATGGTTTCCACATATGCGCACAAAGGTTAAACCACCATTGACTGGTCCATATATGTGACAACTGCAGAGTATAAGCCTCTTTAAAGCCACATGAACATGACAGCTCAGTAACCTCTGTCTTTAGGTGTGAACCTTTCATATCCTGGATGTAATTTCATGCATTGCTTAATATAATGCATGTATTCCAATAGCTCAATACACAAAAGACCCATTTTAAAACAGTGTTTCGAGTTCAATCAACAATTTATTGCATTAAAATGGTAAAAATAAGTTGGATAGGTGTTTAATGCAGATTCATTTTTCCGTGATTTGAAATGATTAAGTAATTTTAAAAAGTAAAGTATCAATAAAGAAATAAAGTTACAAGTAGTAAAGCAATCATCTAATCAGCACATCAATCACAAAACCATCAACACTGATAACTTATAAAAAACGACGATAATCTTACCCAGACCATGTGGTAGACCGTGTAGGCATCACTGTCACAGGCGTAAACGCGAATGGCTCGAAGTGTGAAGCCAAACTTCTTTCCTGAGCTATGGATCACAACAGGCTGACGCATGTTTGTGGCACAGAGGGACACGTCGCGGCTGGGAGAGGAGTCTCTGGACGAGGGGTCTGAGGAGAGGGAGTACGGAGACAGGGGGCTGTGCAGAGGAGACGCACCACACAGATCTGGGAATAAAGCACACAGGCTGTAGGATCAAATCAGCAGAGTTGTGTTCTGTTTAACTGCATAATAATAAATAAATCAGTCTTAAATAGTACTTTTTTTCAGCCTGCACTTGGTGGTGATAAGGACAGGGCAACCAGTAAGTGCCATCAGCCCCTCCAACCCTCCACTACCCATTCACACAGAAACCAGACTCATTCTAGACAATGTGGGTGAAGTGTCTTGCCTAAGGACACAATGACAGTACGGCACTTTACAGCCGCAGCTGCCCCACTGTGGCGTTTGTTGTTCCCAGAGGTCTCCCATCACAGCACTAACAGGCCCTGCCATGCTTAGCTTAAGAGGTCTGATTGGGTTCACATGCAGCTACATTAGTTTCATAAAGTTTTTCCCAACCCTGGTTATAACAACAATCATTACAAACATATTACAAAAGTAAAAGTAGTAGTATTCAATGATATTCCCTTTTAATTAAAATGTGTAATGTATTTTTTAGTTATATTGAGAGTACCCCGTGTTAAAAATGAAGCACAGCCATTACTCCCACTATTTATAACTCAAAAGACAATAACATGAGAGTCAAAAACAAGTCTATGCAGAGTGCTTACACCGTCAAATGTCTTATTACTGCAATAAAACTCCTCCAAAACACGTTAAAGCTAGACACATGTACCACTACTGTATGTACTTCAAAGATTTTCAGGGACATATGAAGTGTGTTGTGATAATGTGTGGCGTTTGCTCACCCCCAGGGATCATGAGAGAAAGCGTTCCAGTTGATACAGACTTGGGGACTTTTCGTACAGCTCCGGTCTTGCTCTGGGTCTGGGGCAGAGCCAGTGTTTTCTGTGCTCTCTGATCGTTAGAGGAAATTATGTTGGGATTCTCCACCTCATCATTTTTAGTAACCAGCTCCTCCAAATGTTCAGAAATACTGCCTGTTAAAACACACAGGTATTTATGTTCATGAGATCATCCTAATAATAAATCCCTTTGAGAATGAGTATGTTAACGGAAAGTGTTTTACCAGACAGTGTGTCTCCTGGAGTGCTGCCGGGGGTCGTCCTGTCATGCTCATCGAGAGGGATTTCAACAGACAGAGATGGTTTTGATGAGTCTGCGAGCCCCGAGGACTCCTCTCCCTCACTCTCTGCTGATATGGCAAACTTTGGTAACAAACAAGACCCTTGGTTCAAGCTCCCACTGTCTGTTGACTCCGATGTCCTGTGAACAGCTGTGCGTTACTAATGATTCAAAATGTCATGAATAATGTGCTCAAGAATGCAAGAATACATTTCAGAAAAATCCGGGATCCAGCTAAGTGTATTGGCAGTCAGCGGAGTCTCTGCCTTTTGGTCTTCCACCTCTCCCTTCTCCTCCTCCAGATGCCCATGGGACAGATCCAGACTGCTGTAAACCTGAAAGCATTCACAGAAAGTGTTTGTGATATTGATTTATGAGTAAATTATATTTAGAAATAACATTGTGACTATATTAAGACAATACTAGACCAACCATAGCGTGTGTTTCACAAACTATTGCTATAACATTTATGAGTATTTTCTTACTTTGCTTAAAATATATTGACATATGACTAATAAGTCTAAATATGGGGAGGCAGCATTTCAGATTTATGCAGCTAAAATCTTGAAAATCTGAGACTGGCTTCTTCTCAAAAAATGATCAAATCCAGGTTAAAAACTGTTTAGCTGATTTTAACGTTACTCTTTTTAATATACTACGATTACTGATGATTTGTGTTTGAACTGTGCAACACAAATAAACTTTCCTCACCTAAAGTTTTATCCTAAAACATAACACCTTTCAAAACCGCTATTTCTCGAGCAGAAAAGGTTTGCGCACATATTGTCCTGTGTAAATGGTTTAGTGCGGGCTTAGACACAAGAGTTTAGGACACCTTTGAGAATCGGTGCGAGCAGGAGGAAAACTGCCGCAGCTCCATGTTAAAGTCCTCATCGTTCGTGTCGTCTTCTTCCGTTTCAAGGTGATGGTATCTTTCAGAACGGGCTGGAAATAGAACAAAAGCCTCACATTATACGGGATCGCGTCATACTGTGTTGGTCGTCTTTAGCGGGTTGTGGACTCACTGTCAAAATAGCTTGTGTCATCTTCAGATTCTAACTGAGGAATAAACTCAGCTTTCTGTCTCAGCAAGCTGTTCCAGTCGAGATTGTGAAAAAACTGGTGGTTCTTCACCTCTGCAGCGCCGCCTGTAAAGAAAAATACAACAAAAAGTGAAATACTATGTTCTATTCCAAAGCAAATCTCAAAAAGTTTTCTACATAGCATTTTTTATACAAACTTTCCCTGATATTGGCTCATCGCTTACAGAGGGGAACCTCGGGAAAAATTTGAATCTTCAAAAAGTCCATTTACTCACGTCTATGTATTTCGAGTAATATATGACAGACCCATTGCATACAAAGTTTACTTGTCATCATGTTGATCATTGCGGCTCACAGCTGGTAAAAAAACAAAACTACTCCGAAAATGTGAATAATCAAAATGTGTCGATTATGGCTAACAAACGCTTGGCATATGTCTCTTTGCATGTAGTGAGTCTATATCATATATTGGTTTCACATTTTACGTAAAAAGAAATACATGATATCCTACCGTCAGCAATGCGGCCGATGTTTTAATTTTTTGTGTGTGGTAGAGTTAAGCAGAGTTTATGGACTAAGTTTTAGAAGCGATAAGACAGACAACAATTTTGACAATAAACGTGTATCTGCTTTGTTGGCTGATGACTACATTACAACATGAAAACCTGTGACTTATATTTAAATGCGGTTTATGGACAATATGTACTTTTTTTTTTTTTTCTTAATAGTTGGAAAGTACTGTATTATTTCACCTGTACAATGGACTACTTACAAATATGAATTGGTTAGAAGGGCTGTACCTGTACCAAGTCTTTCAAGCGGACTCTGTCTTAGCAGCAATGTGATGAGCTCCTGGGAATCATGAGGTGGTGCTTCTTCTCCGTCAGGCCAGTTAATTTCATCTGTGGAATCGATGACATTACACTTTAATTAACTTTACTCAACACACATCGTAGGATTTAAAAGGAGCTATATGCAAGAATTGCAGTCAAGTCATTAAATGGCCCCAATTTGTCAAAAGGCATTAATAAACCATGGCATTATCGAATACTTCTTTAGCTTATAACAGTAGTTCAGTCGACATATGAGAATTTCAAAATTAGATTTACAGCCTGTAAATCTTGCTATTGTTTTTTCATTTCAATGTCATTTCATTTTGAGTGTTGACTCATTTAGTTTCCTGGCTTCACATTGGTTAAGAGCGTTACAGTCTGCTTTCTACATATTTACAGTCTATGGTTATGTCGCACCAGCTTGGTTCGACAGCTCTTCGTGGATAGTACAGACTGTAGTGGAGAGGCGCCAACTAGCTACAGTATAAATGATGTAAAATTTCTCACAATGCTGGCTAATGAGGAGACAGTGTTGCAGTGTTGGTGAATTAGGTGACTTTAATGGTATCTGCAAGTGGAAAACAGAGATGCATGCTTTAGCTATTGAGCTATTATGGTCCCAGCTGGATTCGGCTGCGTCTCTGGCAACCAAACAGAATTTTTGGCCAGATTTTTACGTATAGCTCCTTTAAGACTTGTGTTTTACGAACCACTGATGACTTGTCCAAAAAGCTCTTCCGGCGTGTCTCCAAAAAATGGCACACAACCAACAAGAAACTCGTACAGAATAATGCCCATGGCCCACCAGTCCACAGGCTTCCCATAGCCCTGTCGGAGAATCACCTCTGGAGCGATGTACTCCGGAGTGCCGCATACCTACGAAAGAGAATAATCGTTCTCAAGCAATGTTATGCTACTTTTCCGCCGTTTGAGGTTGTGACACGTACCTGCTTGTCTGAAAATTCCCGTGCATCTTTTTCTATATGTCCCTCATACAAGTTGGTGGTCATATTCATCAGGCCGACTTTGGACAGACCAAAATCTGTCAGTTTTATGTGCCCCATTGACGTTACCAAGAGGCTGAAAAAACAAATTGAGAACAAAATGAATCTGATTTGCGTCTCAGAATTTCTGCTTCCATTGTAATCCACGATATCATTATTACATTTGTATTTAGGTATAAACTATTTACAGAAAAGGAGAGGGAAAGGCAAAATACAATCCAAGCAATCCAAAGAAAATGTCATGGGTGAAATTAAAAGTGTGAGATCAATTACTTTGGAGTTTATTAAGACGGATAGAAAAGGTAATTTCCGTACTTGTCTGGTTTGAGATCCCGGTGAACAATGCCATAGTTGTGGAGGTACTCAAGAGCAAGCACCGTTTCTGCAAAGTACATTCTGGCCATGTCCACGGGAAGAGGACCCATGTTTTTCAAAAGTGTGGCACAGTCACCGCCTGAAAAAAACCCAACAAAAACAAAAATCTTGACTCCATTCTATGTTCTCTATGTGAAAGTGGGAGTCTTTGTATGCTGTGATCTCACCTTCTACATATTCCATAACCATGCACAGGTGACGGCGCGTCTCAAAAGAACAAAACATGGAGACCACAAAAGGGTTCTCTGCAAACGTGAGGATGTCTCTTTCCACAAATGCCTGTTGGATTTGGTTTCTCAAGATAAGGTTTTGCTTATTGATCTTTTTCATGGCAAAACGCTGCTTTGTCTCCTTGTGCCGGACCAGATATACAGCTCTGCAAGCAAACAGAAATAAAAATAACAACATTTAATTGGTGCTTAAATGTAGTGACAACCTTTGAATGCATTGTTCTTACCCATACGCTCCATTGCTAATGAGTTTGATCATCTCAAAGTCCAGCTCACAGGGTTTACGCCTGGATCTTAAAACCGCGCTAAGACTTTGACACTAGAATGAGAAGGGAGAGATTGCATTTGTATCAACTGACAGCTCTCGTCATTTAGTATTTCGATTTATTTTAAGTGTCAGTACCGAGTCATCCGTTTCAGGCGTTTCTGCGATCCCACTGTCGCTGCTGGTCAATTGAGCTATTTCTAAAAACAGAACAATGATATTAGACTAAATTTGCTTTCAAGAGACATGTTCACTAGACCAAAATAAGGCAAACAGCTGCAGTTTCAGCCCATTGGTTTCAGAGCAGACTCAGGAAGGACTAAGGTTTAAACAGCCAACTCTGTAATGAGAGTCAAAAACACTGCTCTTGCACAAATGTTTATGTGTGTGGTTTGGAAATTGCGGTAGAGACAATCTTGTAATGGGGTAGCTCACTCTCTTGGGGTATGTACACATTCGAAAACGATCTAACATCTGTCCCTCCGTGTGCTTGCGTTTTAAGTACAGAGTAAATGAAACATGGAGGACACACATGGGAGAAGCAGGCCCACATAACCATTAGGGCTGTGCTGAGGACATGCTTTAGATAAAATCAATGTTGATGTGGAGAAACATAAGGTCATTATGAGCTGTGCAGCTTCAGCCATTACCCAAAGTCCTTCACAACCAACTGTTTCTCAAATGGTGTTTGAGAATTCACCTTCCAGAGGGTCCCTTGTCAGTCCGAGCTGGCTAATAATGTATCGTGGGATATCGGTTTTGATGCCCTGGCCCTCTTTAGCATGTCCTTCAGCCGCCTCCAACAGGTGATAGAATTCTTCTGGGTCAAATTCCTGGAAGCATGAAGCAAAGCACACATATAAAATACAATTATACTAATATTCTTAGTCCTGGGGTCATGGTTTAAAATCAAGTAACTTACCAGACATTCCAGTAATCGTGCAGGTCGAGCTATGACCATCAGAATCTTTTTCACCAGCTCTCTGATAAAGTCGACTTCCTCACTCTCTGATCTTTCCGTTGACTGATTGAATTCAACCAAAAAAAGACAAAATGTTTGTTTCTGACATAATGAAAAACTATAAATATTAGTTTGATTTTAATGTGTTTACTTCAAGAACCAGCTTTTCCAGTTTATCGGTAAACTCGCAGAAATAGCTGGAGGTGACAAGGCCCTGTCGGCTCTTCTCAAGACAGTCTCGGGCCAGCTCAATGATCTGATGATGCGCGAAGCCGAGAACGCCATCTGCCAGAGGAAGAACGTTCTCTGGAGAGTTACTGCGAATGATCTCCTCAATCTTTTCCTCCATTTGGGCCGTGGCCTGAAGGAACAAGCACATTTGAGACCCATGTGTTCACAGATAAATTAAGGTTCTCTTGGCTTCAAAAATGTGTTTACCCGTGGAAATCTTTCCTTGTACACATGGTTCATCATAACAATCTCATTGTCAAAACAGGATGGAGATCGTCCTGGGCTAAAAACAAAAAATGAATCAAGGTTCAAATGAAGGCATTATGCTTTGAAATTAAAAACAATGCCAAGTGCAAACCTGAGACTGCGTGAACGCGGCCGCATTGGTGTGGCTCGGCGACATTCATCTCCAGAGATACTTTCAGTGCAGAAGTGCTTTGAGAGGAAGTGCAGCTCGTCTGGAGTGGGCTGGAAGGGGAGCTGGTGCAGCTTCTCCTGTGATGAACAGGATGACTGAAAATGAAACATATACATTTCAAAATGTAACGAAAAACAAATGTTTCTGTTACGGATTTAGAGAACGCATCCCCAAGTCTTATCATACATGTTCAATAAACTGGAAACCAATCACTGTGCTGTTGTACACAGCCCTGAGTCACTAACTTTAGTAGAGAAAAGAGAAATACTTACAGAGAGAGTGGAGCTGGGTGTGTTGGTTCCATAACCTGAAGAGGGGAGAGAGGCCAGTGACCAGCGACGGCCATCAGTCCTGTTGCGCACACACACACAGAGGCAGGCAAGCAGATTATAACTATTATATAACTAATCTATTTAATATGTTTACATATACGGCTCACTATGACCTACCTCCTTGTAAATGTGAAATGAGCTGAAGCACTGGGGGAGAAATTCCTGGGACTGTCTTGTGGACTTGTTCCTAAAAAATGCACACACATAAACATACATGCATGTATTTATTTTAAGCAAACACATCGTATACGGTTATGGTCTCACTGCACACTGAAAGATTCAACTTTCTATATTTGGATATTACCAGTGAGAGTAGAGAGCGGCGAATGAGGTCGTGGTAAACCTGATGACTGACCACTTCCTATGAGACTTTTTCTGTTGCTTGTTCTGCAACTGTAGAAGCAAACAGAGATATTAGCCAAAGTAATCAATCAATGAACACAAATACTGTAGTGAGTTCAGAGAGAAAACCATAATGCATAATGTGTGAGACGGATATTTGCCACATATTGGTTCTCTGTGGGTCCTAGAGCACTAAAACTCCTATATTTTTGCTCTAATGCAAGTATTTTCAAGTATTTTCAAGTATTTTGCGTCTTATGTCTTGCAGTCATGGGCCTACAGTGTTCCTGGGGAAAATGTATTGAAGTTGTCCAAAAAGTGATCTAAACACACATATTTTTTTCTCCTAATTTACATATAATGATCTTGTTCTGGGTATTAGTTATAGGAATGTGTTACAAAGATGTTCTATATCACAAAAGGAAGAATCTTTGATGTAACACAAATAACCCTTTTAATATTCAGCTTATTTTAGACAAAAGACACAGAAATAGATGACATTCTGATGTATCAGACTTTGAAATTCACTTCATTCGGACCATTGCTGTCAAAAAGCACTTTTTTCTATCTTTTTTTTGTTCTTCCCTGTCAGAACTGTCATGAGAGTTTACAAAGAAAAGGCCACACAAGATTGCAGCTACTGACACAACAGACAAAATATATTTGGTTATTAATAGATCGGACCATCATAGGATACAACATTTTGCATACACGTTTTACATTTCTGGCCATTTCTGGCCACAAAATTGGTGTCAGTGATTTAGGGATGGTTGAAAGCATCGTCCTCCTGTGGACTCACCACCTGCAGAGGGTCAGTGAGGGGCTGGTGCTATGAGACTTGGGTGGCACCCCCTTGGATTGCCACCCCCCTGACCCAGAAATGGATTAAAGGGTAGAAAATGGATGGATGGATGGATGAAAGCATCGTGACATGATTTTATAATCCTTTTTTTGCTCGAATCAGGAAAAGACATTTTCAACTTTAAGACGAGCACATTTCAATTGTAAAATGGGTCAGATTAAAACCCCAAATATGTAGGGCTCTCCTAAGACTCAGGCTCTACAGAATGAATCTTAAATATTGGCAAATGTCAGCTTTGTTTACATAAAATGCCTTGAAAACTAATTATTTTAAAAGCAAGATACTACTGAACAAGGTACCAATTGACTGATATCAAAAAAAGACCAAATAATATTCAACATGAGAATGTAAAATGATATGAAGGAAGATGAGATACGGCTTCACAAACAGACAATCGCCCTTTGCCTTCCAACACAGCACAGACAATAGACTGGGAGCAGCGCCTCTTTCAGTCTGCTATCTGATTTGACACGTTGTAAGAGAACACCAATTGTCCAGTGCATATTGAGATATCTTCTTTTACTGCAATAAGTTTCCCAAAGCACAGTCTAAATACAAGTATAGTTATCACAACCACATTACCTCTTGGATCGCCGCAGACGAGCGCGACCAAAGAATGGTGGCTTTTCGAAGCTGGACAGCACAGTCCACAGACTTGAATCGGACATAGCTCGCAGGTCATGCCACACAGATGACTAGCAGAGCAGCTGAGAGTTTTCAGGACGCCCGCTCCAGTGTCGGGCCAACAACAGTAAAACTACAGCGCTCCCCCTGCAAAGAGGACCCAGTGTCCTCTGCACGCCTCAAACCAGCGTAATCCAGGGAGAAAGCCGTCGTCAGGTGCAGCCTAAAACAAACCCCCTGCAGCTGATGCTCAACATGCTTCATGTAACTGGCACCAAGCTCTGAGCAGGTGTGGGAGGGGGCGAGCTCTCAATACCAACAAAAGGCCCGCAAGATTCATCCAAATCACAATCAACCTGTTACAATATGGAATTCACAAAAGCTGCCATTATTTAAGTCTTTTGTTTTACGTTTATTATTGTCACATAAATGTGTGAGCTGTGGAATTCTAATTTACCTTATGAAAAGAAATTACAATACTTCCAAATGTGCTTGAATTAAAATCAAGCTCGTGGAAATGGCTTCATTTAAAGACCTTTTAAAACTTAGATTTTATAAATGGAAAAACTTCTGATGGTGCACCACCAATCGAAATTGCGTTCAGATATTTTTGCCAAAATCATGCAGTTTAAATGTACAGTACAATACACGACACACAGAAGGCATTTGTAAAAATGGGAAACCGATTGAATGAGCTCAAGGTTATACTAAGTCAAAGTTAAACTATAGATTTTTTGATGAACCTACATTACATCCAAAGCACCAGTTTATGGCGAGTGACCATCATTGGTAAAACAAAGTTAGTCCTCACTGCGTCTAAGCTCATTTCCCTGTGGATTCACATGAGAGGCAGCCTTCACTCTAATAATGGCTCTGCCCTGTTTCTCTGCTCCACATGGGACACAATGGTTCAGATGGTTCGATGTCAAACTGCCGCATAGGAAACATAACAAGCAGGAAGTTTAGGCTGATGACATCAGCAGAACCCTGTTATTCTCATCATGACACACTTTTGTAAGAAAGAAAGAAAACACAGGCTTTTTCAATGGCTCTGATTCACTATGGCTCAGAGTTTAAGCCATCTCTGAAAGATGAGCCGAACAGGAGGTCAGATAGTGGGCGATGTGAGTGATGTGAGCGATTCATAGAAAACAGCTTTAGATTCAGGTTTGTTTTTAAAACGTTTGACAGAAGTCCAAGAAAAGATTCTCTATTTTGTAGCGTTTCTTTCAATGACTGGAAAACGGGAAGCTGCAAAAAGACTAAGAACATTTCCACACCGATTTATTTCAAATACCGCAAATCCTACTTAGCACATGAAAGACGAAATAAACCCAATCCCAACAGAGACTGGCAACATGGGGGAAGGGGACACAATCAACATTATATAAGCACCAAAAATGTCACTTCAATGTAAAATATGTTCAGAGGACACAGCACATTCTCTGTTCAAATCTCATTGACACAATGATGAGAATCACTTGCAGATATGTGCATGTGCTTCATATGCACACAACATATTTACAAAAGCTATGGATGAAAAAGCTCAAGCTTACCTCCAAAAATGAAAAGCGTGCAGTGGACTGCACGGACTGCAAGGGCTAGTGGGAGTGGGACTCAAGCTTCGCGGAGTGAGGCTGCAAAGTTAAATGGAGTGTTGTAAACGGTTTTAGTACAAAGAAGCCAACAGCTCCGACATGAGCAGACACTGAACACAAACACGGAGGATCCGGAGTCACTGGTTATGTCCAATTATCATGACATTATCAGCAAAAGCTCTCACTGACGTCTACAAGTTACAAAAAGTTTTAAATAATATACATTTATTGATAGATTTAGATCATTAAATTAAACAGCGGTTTAGTGATTAATGATTCAACAAAGTAATTTAATAGAATCATGCACATTCTTGCAGTTATTCCCTAAAATACCAAGAACAGATTGTTGACCTAGAAATGTCAATGACATCATTTATGGAAACATTATTGTGGCCCAATGGTCTGAGCGGTCACAACAGTGCTACATCACACTGAAGGTGTGCTGAGTGCCCACAATGTCACAGCGGCGGGAGCATCTCGTGCAGATGCGACACATGACTCATGACATGCTCTGCGCATCAGATTTGCACAAAAAGAGAAAAACACACGCAGACACGTACACAGCAGAACAGAGGTTAGCGGTGAAAGCCCTGACATTCACAGAGAGGCTATAGCTGATGCTAACACAGCACACAGCAGAACTCAGCATAGCAACAGTAAGACAACAACAAACAAAGACTGACGGGTGAAGCTGACCCTGACTATGATCAACATAATGAAATACTCACTCTAGCGTTAACCCAGGAATCCTCAGCCTCTCCCGCTGGGCTTTCATGGTTCATCTGTGCTCGTTTGCTCTATTGTGGACATGATATGCATGTACTGTGCCTGCGTCGCACTGACAAAAGAACCAAACCACGCCACCACAGAGCAATCAGGAGGTCAGAGTTCTCAATGTGATGAGTGAAAATCCAAATCTTGTTTTAGTTTTTCCCGTTCCACCTTGAATCTGTCAAACGAGATCTTCAGTTGCCTGCAGAGGGCATGGAGGCAGGACAATAGCCCATTTCCCTCCCCTAGTACACGCCCCCTGCTCTTTCAGAACCGCATGCAAGCTTCTGGACAACCCCCACCACCATCTGCTTACTTTCAGGGGCTAGAAACAGGGATGAAGATTGCGGATTGAGGCAAGATTTGCGCCTTTTCTGGCGGAAGTGTATACCAGCGAGTATGAGGCACGTCCTTCTCAAATGTAATGTCACTACTTGGATGATGTCATTGTGAGAAAATAAATAAATAAAAACCACATTGCGCCATTATTCACAATCCATGCACAAGAGAGCATATCACTGCAGTGCATTTGGTCAAATTCAACAAGACTTTCAACATCCAAGCCATAAAGTAGATCTATGAACATATGAAAAAGCACTTGAGCAACAAGCGCAGAGGATTATGTTGATGTGAAACCAGAGAAGAGCAGGTCATGAGTCTGCTATGGACGCAGCCAACACTGAAGCCAAATATACTGCCCTATATCCCACAGGCATTTGTTGTGGTTTCAGCTTATTACATTAGAAAATCAACATGGTAAACTAATAATGTATTGCGTTAGATAAACACCACGTGGCTGCTCACACCTGACTCCAAGACTGCAGTAAAATGTTGAAAGGAGATGTCCGACTGTATACGTTGCATCCAACTGTTGCCAAGGTGATGCCGGCCTTGACAGAGTCATATTTCAACATTTTAGCTTCTATGCACAAAATGATCACGCACACATTTACACCAGACGGACTGACATTCAGACACGTTTGACCGACAAAAAGAGACTACATGAAGACTTTGCACGAGTCTTGATCAGTTACATGGGGAAGACTTATCAAGGTGACACAGACTCAACAGACAGCAAGGTACAACACAAAAGCACAAAATTCCACAATTTGTTGTATTCATTTTCAAGAATTCTATTTCACTTTGAGATGCAAATATTTGCATTCTGTGAGAAAGAAGCAAGTTTTGAAAGAAATGTTGAAAAAAGTAAATGTTTTCCCAGATCCAAAATTCAGTAATTCGATTCACAGACCTGCCATTTTATTCATATGTCTGAAAGTCCATTCTTTTTGGATATTGCCAAAACATAAAATAATTAGACCATATTTTATATACTAAAGATTTGGAAAGTTGTTTCATGTGGATTGACCCAGGGATTTGGCACTAAACTACGACTAAAAGTCTCACTTTTTCTTATATAAAAAATGTCTTTGGAATATGAACACAATCTATTCCATAGACAGAATATTCCTTGACAAATTACCAAAAAAGGTGTAATATTGAGCAGCTTATGATATGGTGATATGTAGGTTTCAAACTTCACGATATCCAGCTTCTGGCACATCATCATTCTGCGATTTCCAAGGTCAGTTCAGGTTTCAGATATTTAAAGCAATGCAGCTGCTAATCTCACAACTTTCGCTTTGAACCAGACTCAAATCAGCTGCATTTAGACCAGAGGTTCTCAACTGGTGGGTCGAAACCCAGAAGTGGGTCGTCGGAAAATAAGGGAGTCGCAAGGCTTTCTTGGGCAACATTGTTTAAATGATGCCTCTATTACAGAAAAAAAAGCTTTAGGAAAGTATTAAGACATTAAAGGAATAATTAAACATTTTTTAAATTAGTCATTACATGGAAAAGGTCTTTATTTTCCATCACTATGAAAGCAGAACCCTGGGGAGGATCAATTTCTTTTTGTTGTCACACTTTATGAAATCAAATGTTGTATACTTGACTTTGGTGATAATAATGCAATGTACCTAAATATAACTTTTAGGTATTATTCATTTATTCCACACGCAGTGGTAAGATATTGCTGTGGCCACAGCTGCCCTGGGGTAGACTGACAGAAGCAAGGCTACCGATCTTAGCCAACTGGTGCTCAGACTACAACCAATTCACAGCAGACCCAGTGAAGTGTTTTTCCTAATGACTTTACAGGTGCACCACAGTGACACCTGGTGTTGCTAGCAGTCTCCCATCACAGTTCGAACAGGCTCTGCCCTGCTTAGCTTCTAAGATCTGACTTGATAATCTACTCAATTGCATGATGTTAAAAGGTGTGTGCTGTAAAGGTTGTGTACTTACAAACTGCCTCTTCTGGGAAGACTGAGTTCTTTCTGAAAAATAAAATGTAAACTTATCAGTAAATCACATCAGAATAAATTAAAACAGAAAAGGTTCATGTAAAGACTCAAATAAATGTACTTTTTTGTGGGACACTTGTCTTTACAACTTTTGTTGACAAATAACAGTTTGATCAGATTACTGCACCTTGAAAAACATACAAAACTGGTCAGGTGCCACAATGAGATATATATTAGTATTTAAAACACATCTCCTGAGCATTCCCTCCAACAGAGTATATAAAAAAGAAATTGGTGAAACTTCAAGAAGTGACAGCAGTCCCTACAGCAAACACCAGAGGTCACTGTTGCTCTGGTTCAACACATAACTGGCCTTGAGGTTTTGGCAAAATTAATGCAAAATAAAAATAAAAACTCAGCAGAGGTTTCAAACGTTCTCCCTTCAACACAAATCCTTCTTGCACAATGCTGCAGACTTCCATTGAAATGTCCCAAAAGAAACAATCACTCTGTTCATTTCCTAATTATTTTAGAAACGTTTCACAATATCAAAAAAATTTTGCGCTGCCATTATACCTATAAAAAAGCGCAGACATTGCCTTATCATATTAGACATTTATCTTAAGAGTCCGATCAAGACAAAAAGTAACAAAGTTTTATTTTACTATTTTTTGGTAAACTCCACGATGCACAAGTTGCAACAGTTGCAGAAAAAGAAACCAGGTCATACACAGTAAAAACTCTAGTGCAAATTTCAGACAAAAAAAAAACACCCCCCACTATATTAACGTCAGCCTCGAGAGTCTGCAGGAGATACTCCGGGTCGACCATACCTGCAAGCCACGTCTCCTCAGAATACTGGACTCATCCATGGCACAGAGATCCACCTCAACCACCTTAACTTATCCAGCTCCCACTGCCCTCAGCTTGCGACTCCACATCCCCATCCGACTGTGCCATTGGAGGGAGACAGTCAGCTGATGGTGTCCTTGCGCCTCCGAGTGAGCAAAAGCAGCATGGAGTGACTGAGAGGAAGGATCGATGCGGGAGTTTTCAGCAGCCGAGCAGAGTCGAACTAGCAAAGTGTGCCCCTCTCGGTTTTTTTATTTTCGGTGAGCGCCCTGGGTCACCGTAACAACGACAGGATTTCCTTCAAAGCATTGTTTTGCCTCAACCGCTGCAGCGACACGAATATCCTGTCTGCAGCAGTGGGATTACAATGCCATGAATGAGTCACTGAGAAACTGGGGGGCTCCCTATCTGCGCTAAAGACACTCTCAGTTTCAATGTACACAAGAAAACGTTGAATTAATGACATGTATGAGGGACAAGGAAGAGTCAGTACAAATTGTGCAGCTGTCATCTTCAGCAGAACAAAAAGACAAAATGTGTGAATTATTACTTGTTGCAAAGTCCTGGCTGCTCATATTCCTCACTTGTGTTTTTGGATTTGCAGTTTCAGTGTATGCCCCCCCCCTTTTCCCTCTGTCTCACTCATTTCTATTCACTGTGGTCCTGCGCCTGTGAATTTTAAGTGGCCTCGCAGTTCGCACTATTCTGCACATCTCAAGCCTAAAATTAATGCGTTTTTAGTCCGTGTGGCCAATTTCTTCTGAGCACGACACGACACAACACACACAGACAATGTTTTTGTTTAAATTTGCCCTGTACATTTCTGGAAAGAGAAAACATGTTGCTGAATGTCAAGAATGTGGTTTATGTTTTAGAGCCAAGTTCTTCCAGCCTGCTGCAGAGTTGATGAGAACTACTTTTTCTGATGTCATTCAAACTTTAAACAAATTTCTAAGCCCTTCTTTACGGAAGGAAAGATCATACAAGATTTTTATTTAATCCAAAATATAAAAAGCACCCCGGATTACGCCCCTCAATAACCATATTTTGACTCCGATTCTATAATAATAATAATAATGGTTTAAAACATTTAATAATCACTTTAATAAATGTAATAATCACTGTGGGAATTATCATCATTATCACATTTGTGAAAGTTTTTAAAGGTTTTGTGTACGTAAGGCAAGGCAGGTTTATTTGTATAAAATGCTAAACAAAACAAGATAGAGACAGTCAGAGACAGTCAAAAAAGGCATTAAAATCATAGATAATCACAGTAAATAAAAAGGGTAAAGATCCCTCAGTTGTATGCACAGCTAAACACAACTGATTTTAACCTGGATTTAACTTATCAAAGAAGAAGCCTGTCTCATATTTTCAGGAAGATGTTTAGTGTTAACTTCAGACTCTGGGCAGCAGCAGAAGGCGAGTCCCTGAGCTCCTCAGAGTCCGAGTTGGTTCATATAGGATTAAAACATCACAGATGTGCTTTGGTGTGAGGCCATGGAGAGACTTGTAACAAGCAGAGCTGTTTTAAAGTCTATTCTCTGAGCCACAGGAAGCCAGAACAGAGACCTGAGAACTGGACTAATGTGATGTGTTGTGTTTAGATTGATATTCCTTCTCAAGATGCTTTCTTGCTTCTGGAAACGGCACAAACTACTTCACAAAACATAAATATAAATAGTTGTTGACATTGCTGGAGAAAAAAAGTTAAATATAGGGTGAACATGTGGGGGTCTTTACCTGGCTGGAGGTGAGGGAGGGGTCCGACTTCCCCAGGTTGAGACGCATCCGCAGCAGGTTTGAGGCCTCAGGTGAAGGCAGAGAGGCAGCTGGCTGTGCA